AAAATAAGAGACTATTAAGTAGCAGATAGAGGCGTTAAAATATTTTGTTTTACCTTGCTTCAGTTAAACCATAATGATTGAGCAACACTCCACTGTGGGCATCTACATTGGGCCAGGGGTTTTTTACCTACGAAAAATCAGATCCACATTACATTTGCTCAGGAGGGCATTTGCAAAATAACTAAAATCAGTTTTGTGCCCCTCTTTATTGTTCCTAAGGCAAATGATTCCTAGGAGTATATTATTCCTCATGGATGCATCGAGAACCTTCCCATCATAATAGAAGTCACTCACCTTGCCTAGCTCCAACAGTATAGGAGGCACAACTTCATAAAGATTCGAAACCTGAATAGACAATAACCAAAAAAAAAGAGTCATAGTTATGCTCAATGAACAAGATCAAAAGAATAAAGGCACAAACATATCATGATTATCAAGTTTGATAAAAAGTGAGACCAGTTTAAACAATGGATCATCCGGCAAGTGCTTCAATGCAAATTCTCTCTGGCATGTGTATCTTGGATCTGTTTTGCGCAGCACACCGTGTCCAAACCCAGGAACAACCTATAGGGACAAGTTAAAAGATAAATTAAGATCAAATGTGATTAAGTATTAGAGCTTGTGGCTAATTTTTCACCATTAGTCTTATTATGAAATTAGCACCATTAGTCTTATTATGACCTCAACTAACCAGCAGTGAGTAGTGACTGTAATTTCTGAGAGGCCATGAATGAAACATAAGTTTTTTATTTATCAATACTTGAGCACACAATAAAATCTTGGATTGTCTGAGATACTACCTTGCCACTGTTCAATGTCTTCCAGACATACTCTTTCAGATGTTCTTTGTTGACGTTCTCCCCACAATCTTCCACCACAGATTTAATCCATAGCAAGACTTCCTGTGATAACATGAAAAAAGAAGCCACGGATAAATAAGAAGATATGTATCTATCTTCTGACGCAACATAATGGATGACAAGGGATTTTAACTAAATTATTACAAAATACCAAAGGAAGCATTTATCAGTAAAATAAATAAGGGAAGTAGTTTGGAAGAATGTAAGTCACTCACTATTCAAATGAACAGGTTAATAACATGAAAACCTACAGCAAAACTATCATAAGGTACACATTTTTGTGAAGCTAATACCAGAAAATTTGGTGAAGGATTAGAACAAGTGCATCAACAATAGTAAAGACAATTGGCAAATGCATGCTCGGCTGAGCAATTAAGGAATTTATTCTGAAGGAACAAAACCACAGAAACAAGGCGCACCTGATTGGCCAATCCATGAAGTGGACCGGCTAAACCATTTAATGCTGCAGCAAACGAGAGATAGGGATCTGACAGTGCACTTGCAACCTGAGGAAGGACAAGAATAACCAATCAAATTAATTTATGCTAAATAGAATCCAAATAGTCCTGGTGTCAGAAACAATTAAGTCCAAAAGCCCACCAGTCTACTTTAACAAGATACAAGCAATAGCATCACTGAAGTCCTAGGCCTTTTAAGAGGAACAAGGAAAATGTCAAGTCACTTACCAGATGACCAGTATGTGCACTAACATTTCCACCTTCATGATCACTGCAAGAAAACAATGTCGTCTTTGAAAAACATAAAGATTGTATGGGATTTTAATTTCAGGAAATTGCAAACTGTTTTCACATATTTGATAGTTTTTCAATGCATAAATTATCAAAACATACCTGTGTATGGTAACATAAAGTCTCATGAGTTCCAGCATAGCAGGATTATCAAATCCTAACATGTGAGCGAAATTTCCACCATAATCCAGGGAGACATCTGATGGAATGATTTCTCCATTCTTGTATATCCTTCAATTTTAACCAAAACGTCCATAGAAAAAGATAAAATCACTAGACGACAAACTGGTTATTGTTTTCAAAGAAACGAAAGAGATAGGAAAAAAAAAGGATTCACTTCTCATTCAAGCAAAGTAAAATAGAAGTAAAGATAAAATCCATTAATGAACCTGCGGTAGACATAAGCAGCAACAATCGGAAGTTGAGCAATCAAACTAAGGGAGTCCTCATAGGTTGGTTCCCAATACCTAAAAGGACAAACACACAAA